CAACCTTTATCCGGCTAGTCTCGCTCCAGCATCGTTTCCGCTTTTAATCGGATTCTTTCGTCTCGTTTCATTTTCGATTCCTTCGCTGATACTGTCTCTCTCGACTGATAAATTGAATCGACGGCATCGTTGACATCTTATTTGAATTTCGTTCCATTCGTCTCTACTTCCGTCGTTTATTAATCTTAAATCCGCGACAATATTCCGTCTGCCTTTAAAAGCGACTCAAGTACGAAATCGACGGAACGATTTCGTTCATTCGGGTTCATTGATTTCATCCTTCGATTGCTTAATTTAATTCGCTTCATTTGTACCAGCGACTTTATTTAAGATTCTAGGTTTTTCACGGAGGTATACTTTATTGGGAAATTTCCTTTTTCTGCTTTAGCAATTTTTATTTAAGAAATATGCAAGAGATTTCAAAAATAAAAAATAGAGTAACTAGAAGAATGGATCCTTGAATTCTGGAATAAATACAGAGTCCTTCGATTAAAATTAATTTCATCAACATGTCTTCTTCAAATCAATAAAACTACCAATTTAAATTTGCATTATTTGCAGAAAAATTAAAACAGGTGATTTTATTTATATAACCTGATGTTTCCATTAAGCGAGACATTCGAAGTACAAATCTTCTTAAATATTCATTCGATTAAACTTTAATTAATTTCGACTTAACTTGCATCCAATAAATGAAATATTAGATGAATAATGTATACTGCATGATTCTATTTCTGCTATTTATTATAGATAGAACAATAAATACGGTCGAATAATTCATTTCTATTAACTTCCATCGCAACGTGGTTAAAGTTTAATATTTCGATCACGAATCAAACGTAACATCAGCGATTGAAATCACATTAATTTGCGCTCACCCAATAACCACCAACCATTAATTTAATCTATAATTATTAATCCTCAAGTGCTGAAAACTGGGCCAATTGTAATCCACAGCTATAATGAAATACGGTGGTATTTCAACTCTCGAGTATTGTAATTTTCAAATTAAATATCTGTGTTCTGAAGAATCTGAAATTGAATTTAAATTTTCACATTACTTTGAGGCACCAAAACACTTGACTTCATCGACTCGAATATATTAAACTTACATCACAAAATTATATCACAAATTGCATCACAAATTGCATCACAAAGTACATCACAAATTGTGTTAAAAACATTGCCAATTTTAATAAAAAAAAAATCCCCAAACAATCTTCTCATCTATGTACAACTAACATACATATTATTTATACATAAAAAAATCCTCTGAGACTTATTTCTGCCCTAAAAAAATTTATAAAAATGCTACACGAAAGGGAGAAAACTCCTCGATAAAAAATATCGAAGGTCAATAAAGTAATCTAAATATTCTTAACCGAACACGAATTCGACGTCCGTCAAACACAGTTGACTTATCGAAAGAATAAGCTCGGTTCGGTGTCGCAATCAGCTTTAAAAGCGGTAGCTTTTAGCGTGACACGATTGTTGAAAAGTAGGTGGCAGCAATGCAAGTAGGTTTTAATGCTTGAAGCGAAATGGATCAAGTTGCGGCGAACGAAGTTTCAGCGATCCCATGAAAAACATGATTGCTCGAGACATTAGCGTCTCGCGACATACTTTCGCCATATCCCGAAGTAACAAACCGAGGATTAACACGGAAAATGTGTTAATACTATTCGAACAGTCGGGTGGACGTTAGAAAACTTTCCACGATACATCATCCATCATGTCTTCCTACGGTAATTACCGGAGGCATAGCGGAGGTTATAAATTGCACAAATGTCTAACCTGTACTCGACTGCGGGAGTTATAATGTTACTGAATATTATAATGTTACTGAAGCGTAGACAGGGAAACGTGTAATGGAGCGGTTAAACCAAAGTTAGCTTACGTTCACGTCATAATGTTTGCGTGATCCTAATTTGTGTGTTACGTTACATTCTTTTGGATGTTTGAACTTGTTAGGTGATTTACACTCATCATTATATTGAATGCAATTCAATATTTGATGCAAATAAGAGGATGTTTTGAAATAAATATTTTCTAACTGCATCTACAGTGTTATACCAGTACATCTTGCATTACATTCTTTTGGATGTTGAACTTGTTAGGTGATTTACACTCATCATTCTATTGAATGCAGTTCAATATTTGATACAAATAAGTGCATGTTTTGAAATAAATATTTCTAACTGCATCTACAGTGTTATACTAGTAAATCTTGCATTACATTCTTTTTAACGTTTGAACCTGTCAAGTGATTCATACTCATCATTCTATTGAATGCAATTCAATATTTGATACAAATAAGTGGATGTTTTGAAATAAATATTTTCTAACTGCATCTACAATATTATATCAGTACATCTTGCATTACATTCTTTTGAACGTTTGAACCTGTCAGGTGATTCACACTCATCATTCTATTCAACACAAATAAATATTTGATACAAATAAATGGACACTAAATTACATATTTAGTATTATCACATATTAGTTACACTAAATAATATTAAATAATAAAATTGTAAATTGTTATGTATCTATACTAAACCCATAGCTAATAATAAAGAAGTACCAACTTCAAGGGGTTCAAGAGATTTCCAAACCAAGTAATTTTAAACTCACCATTTGCCACCAGAAGAAATACTTCCAAGAGGTTAAAAGAGTAGATGTACAGTAAACTGTAGTTCGAATCGAATTTATCGAATACTTGATCAAGTTTAAAATATTCCGTGCTCGAATAGGAATTTCTCGTTTCATGGTAGATGCGAGAAAGGTGTACGCTTTCAGTGGATTCGAAAAGAAAACCACGGAGAGAACGGAGAAGAATGAGCATTAAGAGACACCAGAAGAATTCGAAGCGAGCAAACGTTATTACGTTGGATATCGAATTTATTCAATGGATGTCTTCCGGTAATAATACAGAAGCATTATTTCCTACCGATATCGTTATCGTGGCTCGTTTCGCAGACAGTGCATTGCAGCGTTACGTGTATGTATGTACGCGATAAAACATAATCGAAAACGAGATCCCGTTTCTATGACGCAGAATTCAGCGTCGAAGCGTAATGATGGTTCAAGATTTATTGAATCGAATCGAAAATACATATTTCGATGTAATTAAATCCCTCGTGCAAGGCATTCCGCTCGATTTACGAGAATTTTTAATTAATGGATCTCGATATCGGATACGATTTATTTGATCGTAGCTATCACGTTCATTGCGGGGCTGTTTGATCTTTTTTTGCGAAACGGAAATTCAAACAGAACTGATTGAAAATTTTGTACTTGTTGAGGAGATGAAAAATATTTACGTATTCATTGTCGAAACGATACGTCTATTTTCAGGGATGTATTTTTTTATCCTGATTAATATCTGTATTTAATCTATTCTTGTTTATAGAAATTTATAGACTTGTTTGTGGAAGTCATATTTTATTTCTGAAAAATTTTGAAGTTGAGGACCATTTTAGAGTAACAAAATGTTCCAGCATTCTAAACTCCAGTGCTCCAAAATGTCAAAATTAAAAATCAAGCACGAATCTTCAAAAATTCTAAAGTTGTCCAATTTTAATAACCTAGAGGTTCCATTAAAAAAAAACGTATAATTGTAACAGTGTACAGAGGTCTTTTACAACCCTGTTAGAACCCAATCACCGTACAAAAGATCGCTAGAGACACGTCGTTTCTCGCGAGTAACTCCGGGTCTAATCTCATTGAAACAGAGAGGAGGATAAATGAGCTCAAAACGCGGATCGACGTTCTCGCGGATAATTGCATTCGCGGAAATCTGGGTTACGTTTGTAGCTGGAAAGAGGAGCCTAGCGACGCGTTTCTCGCATTTCGTTCGGCTTCTCTTTGTAGGTCATCGAGTCAAAAATTTCACAAAGGTGTCGAACGCCCGAGTCAAAGACCCAGTTTACTGCGCCGAGAGGTGGTCGTCAAAGAAGAGATGCGTGACAAAGCCGAGAATTTCCCCTTTGCGTTCTACCTTCTCTCCAGAACCGAGTTCAAGCGCTTGTTTGTAAGAATTTCTAATTAGCACCCTCGCTAACCTCCCCGGCAAACGCATCCATTGTAGCTTAATTAAAGTCCGATTCCTTTTTCAACCTTCTTCGCTTTCTCCTTTGTACTTTCTGCAATTTGTTCTGGATTTTCCTCTTTATCGATTAACTGTTTTATTCGTGATTATATTTAGGGAAATTTGAGGGGAGGATTTATATATGTATTGACTTGGGAGAACATTAAAATGTACGTTTGTGAACGTCTTCTATATTCATCATGTGTGTATGTTCTTAATATATGTATATACATATGTATACATCCTGTATATATGTACATACACATGTATACATCTTGTACATATGTACATACATATGTATACATCCTGCACATATGCACATACATGTGTATACATCCTGTACATATGTACATACATATGTCCATACACATATGCACATACATATGTACATACATGTGTATACATCCTGTACATACGTACATACATATGTTCATACACATATGCACATATGTATGTACATATGTATGTACATCCTTGATGAACCTTCTTGAAATATGTATTGTGTTACACAGCCTTATATGTGCTAGAATGTATCGAGAATCAAGAACGTGAGGATGTAGCAATTTAAAAATATACAAAAAGTAGAAACGAAAAAATATTTGTAGCAGTTTAAAAATATAACGCTGTACATGTCTTACGATCTATAGAAGTCTAATAACCTAATAGGAATATACCTCCTGATATAGCACCCGTTTCGCTCTAATAATACCAATAACACAAGTGAATTTTAAATCAAATCGAATAGAAATTAAAAAACCTGTATACCGATAAAATTGATAAAGACCCAAATAACAAGACATGAAAGAATTTAATAAAAGTGAAGCAGCGTCAAAGAATTTGTTAGACATAGTCTTAAGAAAGTATCCTTTGATCCCAGATGCCATCACGTCACATCTTTTGAACGTTTCAGGCCGAAATATGGAGCGTCTTCATCGCTATTTTGAGGAAAAGCGTGCGGAATTTACAGGCATGTACGGATGTAAGCCTCATAGAACACGTGCTGCATCGTTTGTCCCGTGCCGAGACTGTTGTTGCAGGTAAATCCTTACACGAAGATTAACTTCGTACATTGTTCCTGTGAGATAAACATTCTTTTGTTCCATAGATCTGCTGATCGACATGCTCGGAGTGTTGGCCAGTTACAGCATAACAGTGAAAGAATTGAAACTTTTGTTTGGTGCTATGAAGGCTGTAAAAGGAAAATGGGTAAAGATAACGACGAAACTTTTTGTCTTTTTAGATCCGAGAGGAAAAGTTTTAATGGGAATACAAGTTTTTCTTTTAGCGAAAGGTGTAATGATGGGCTAAGAAATTTCTATGGTTCTTGTCTGTTCTATAGCCACGACACTCGGCGAAACTGTTAAACGTTCTTCGTCAAATGCCGCAGAGAAACGGACCTGACGTGTTTTTCAGTTTTCCCGGTAGAAAAGGATCGGTAAGTCGATTTCTCCCTTTCACCGTCTTCTTCTTCGCTCGCGATCTCCGACGAAGATGCTGCTCGATTCCGAACTCTATTAAACTTTCGATAAGAAAATTTGCCTTGTTTTACGGAACTTCCGCTTCCCGCTTAATCCGTCGAATCGAATGACGTATTGATTCTACGGCTAGGCTTATCCTTGCTGGAGAAGTTTCGAGTTATCGCTACGGTGCAGTTCAACCTTGATCGAGGGATCACAAAGTTTTTTAAACGGTTTTTAATTGACTTGCGTTCGATTATAATTTTGCAACCGTTTATTCCACTCTTTTATTTTACCGGTATTTACATAGAAACACTGGTAACGTTTTCTGATACCATTACATACATTAGGTTACATTTAGAAATTTTAAACGATAAGTGTAACCTTCTCTGATGAATGTAACTTTCTCACTTATTGTATATTTATTAAGTTTAATTAATTTTTAAAATTGTACTATATGACTATTTTAAAATTGTACCACATGACCATATCTTTTTGCCCCTCGTTTTTCCACCGTAACTGAATACGAGCGAAATCGACCCTTCCAAGCTGCATGTCAAAGGAAACGGTTGAATGAATTACCTCGACAGGGGAACAGGCCTTACTTTAGCATTGAAATAGCAGTATCCATTTCCTGTAGGAACGAGCAGATGGAAATATCGCAAAAACTCGGAATCCTTTGGCTAAGAAATCTAGCGAAACAGATACCGTTCATTTTAGCAAACATTTGTATCTATCGAATGAATTCTAGCGCGCATGGGTTATCGGGACGTTGCGATATTGGAACGTTGGAATATCGGGACGTGGAGATATCGGGTCGTGGGAATATTGGGACGCAGGGATATCGGGGCGTAGAGATATTAGAGCGTAGGAATTTTGGAGCGTGGAGATATCGGGGCGTGGAGATATCGGTGCGTGGAGATATCGGTGCGTAGAGATTTGGGGGCGTGAGATATAGGCGCGTGGAGATATTGGAGCGTGAGATATCGGCGCGTGGAGATAGTAGAGCGTAGGAATTTTGGAGCGTGGAGATATTGGAGCGTGGTGATATCGGCGCGTGGAGATATCGGAGCGTGGTGATATCGGCGCGTGGAGATATCGGAGCGTAGAAATTTCGGAGCGTGGAGATATCGGTGCGTAGAGATTTGAGGGCGTGGAGATATTGGAGCGTGGAGATATCGGCGCGTGGAGATATCGGAGCGTGGTGATATCGACGCGTGGAGACATCGGAGCGTAGAAATTTCGGAGCGTGGAGATATCGGAGCGCGGAAATATCGGAGCGTGGAGATATCGGCGCGTGGAGATATCGGAGCGTGGAAATATTGGAGCGTGGAGATATCGAAGCGTCGAGATATCGCAGCGTAGAGATATCGGAGCGTAGAAATTTCGGAGCGTAGAGATATCGGCGCGTGGAAATATCAGAGCGTGAAGATATCGGGGCGTAGAGATATCGGAGCGTAGAAATATTGGGGCGTGCAGATATCAGAGCGTAGAAATTTCGGAACGTAGAGATATTAGAACATGGCGATCTACCAATACAGAAATCTACAGTCCTCCAAGTTTCACTTTTAAACATTCACATCCAAATTGTTTCAGGCAATCGTCCTACCTCCACTCGCAAAATGGCCACACGAGAACGGATTCACGTTCACCACGTGGTTCCGTTTGGACCCCATCAACTCCGTTAATATCGAACGAGAAAAGCCGTACCTCTACTGGTAAGTGCTCTCACATCAAGCACTCTCGTTAGAACACTCTCTCGATTCGAAGTGGCTGGTTACTTTAAAAAGAATCATTTATATCACTGACCTCCGAGGAAGAAATAAGCGCGAAAATTGCAGCCTATTCGAATTTCCTCGATCAGCAGTTCGAATTCGATTGAACACAATCTAACTCGATGAAAAAAAAAGAGCGATTCCATTGGAACGACGCTTCGCGTACCAGTTTGATCGCATTCCTTCACACGGAAATAATTCGATTCCCGCACAACCGTTGTCTCCAATTACAAACAACGTTGCCGTTTCGTCTATAGGAATAAAATGGAGAGATAAAACCGACTGACGGGTACAAAGAGAACAGAGAATGGATTTTAACCGATACCCGGTAATAATTACGAAATTCCGTGGTACCGTGTGCTTATTGGCCTTCGATATTTTTTATAAAGTCCAAGGAAGGAATTCGATACTTATGTGAATTAATTTTCACCATATTAGGACGCGGTTATAAAATTTTTTTTGTGGATGTTAAATATTTTAGTTGAATAGGTGTACCTTCTAGGTATTTTAATACTTCTAGTTTATAATATGCAGTACTACTTTTTTATTTGCAGTTTTAAAACCAGTAAGGGTGTAGGATATTCTGCACACTTCGTAGGAAATTGCTTGGTCCTCACCTCTATGAAAGTAAAGGGCAAGGGCTTCCAGCATTGTGTCAAATACGAATTTCAGCCACGAAAGGTACGTTTATATTTTACATACCTCTTAAAGGATAATTTGAATATATTTTCTTTATTTTCAGTGGTACATGATCGCCGTAGTGTACATATATAATAGGTGGACGAAGAGTGAAATTAAATGTTTGGTCAACGGTCAGTTGGCTTCAAGCACAGAAATGGCGTGGTTTGTCTCCACGAACGACGTAAGTTTTACTCTTTCAACATCACATTCATAATTTATACTGTATCTATGACATTTATGTATTAAATTTCCTAATTCAATCTAATCTTGATCATCAAACTTAATTATGTTCTTTAATAGTCAAAGATACAGTAGCCTCCCGATATATTGCCGCATTGCTAATGTTACCTGGCAATATACTTGGTGCAATTTATGGTGCAATTTATACCACAAATTTCTTACAGCCGTTTGACAAATGTTACATCGGAGCTACTCCGGAAGTGGATGAAGAGCGTGTGTTTTGCGGACAAATGAGCGCCATATATCTGTTCAGCGAAGCTTTGACGACGCATCAAATTTGCGCTATGCATAGACTGGGGCCTGGATATAAGGTACAATACAAATCAGGACAAGTTTCAATAAATATAATTACTCACATTCATTTTCTTCTTTTAAAAAATTATTTACTGAGTGCAGAATTATGTACAACAAAAGTTTGCAGAAATATTTATCATAAAAAGACGTAAAATAAATCGGTTTACCATTATAAAAGATCGTTGATCCCTGCGACAATGTTTCAATAAATATAATTACTCATATTCATTCTCCTTTGTTTTTTAATTTTTTACTGCGTAAAAATTGTGCAGAATTCACCATAAAAAAACGTAGAATAAATCGGTTTACCATTATAAAAGATCGCTGATCCCGCGACAACGTTTTTGATCAAGGAAATATTTGCATGCACAAGATTACTTTGAAGTTGTACGTTCCATATTCAACATGGCGCTTTGTTCGCAGAGTCAGTTTCGTTTTGACAACGAGTGTTACCTGAATCTGCCTGACAATCACAAAAGGGTGAGTGATGAGCCGGAGCTCACGAGCATGGTGGACCAAAGTATGCAAACTGTAAGCATTTTTATTTTATTTTCTCCCCGTTTACATTTAATTTGCACACCGTTAATCACTCTGTTACTGCGTTCGAGTTCATCAGAGGTAATTACCCGAATTATCAAGCATCGAATTATTACCCAGAACGGTTACTTGTGGACGCAAACTGCGATGCACAAGTTTGTATTTATCGATCGCTTTGTTTAATGAATGTTGTTTTGTTTCGTGTCCACCTTTTTACCAGCCACGAGTTCAGTTTTTCTGCCTGGTTGCTTTTTTCTCGTAGACAGTTGCTGAATTTATTCGCCTGAGTAGATTCTTGCGAAGGGATGGCACGACTTTCTTCTGCTACCAATTTTGCGTAATTACGGGGGAGGCTGACGGTAATCGTCCCGCAAAATTAGCGTACGCAATTTTTTGAAATGTGGAAATCTGGGGCAAAGCTATTTAACGGTAGCTTTGTTAAAAGTCATGAATCTTTCATTTCCAAGATTTGGAATTTTTTGCTTTTAAATTCTCTCGACTACTTGAATTGTTTTAAACACAAAATTTACCATTAACTAAAATTAGTTAAATGCTAGCTATAATTTTATGAAATTATATTTATTAAAATATCTACAATTTTTTAACTGACATTTGCGAAAGTCGTGCACTCCCGAATTACCTGAGTATTCATTAACAATAATAATTATGTGTGTATCTGTGTGGTTTGCATAAAGCAGAAGGTTTGTTGGTAATACATGTGTATTTTACTAATTAATTTTGATCGTACTAGCTGCGGAGCAATGGGAGTTTGGAATTGATTTTAGATCTACAAAAACATCAGGAGCAGTAGCTTCGCCACAAATTATTTGAACTAAATACACGTTGAGTTTGTCTTGTGATGTCAAGCACGTTTGTGCATTTACCGCGTAGCCATCGTGTTCGATAGTTATGGATAAACTTCGAAAGTTTGCTTCGTTGTGCTTCGAACAATGTTGAAACTCGGTGAACTTTCGAGGGTTAATTATGACTTACAACGATGGAACAATTCGAAAAACAAGACGTGGGCGATGTTAATGATGTTGGTTTATAGGTGCTTTACGATGGTAAGCTGTCGAACGCGATTGTGTTCATGTACAACCCGGTGGCAACGGATTCGCAACTTTGCCTTCAGAGCGCACCGAAAGGCAACGTTTCCTACTTTGTACATACACCACACGCCCTTATGCTGCAGGTGAGATGATAAAATAGAAGTATTAAGTGTGCAGTGAGATCTGTCGAACGCTGGAGTAATGGTTTATTATATCTTGGAGTGGCACGTGGTATAGTAGTGTGTGCGGAATTACCACGCGTGGAATTATGGCGCGTGGGATTACTACACGTTGAGTTATGGCGCGCCGAATTACCACGCGTAGAATTACCACGCGCTGAATTACCATGCGTCGAACTTCCACGCGCCGAATTACCATGCGTGGAATTACCACCCGCTGAATTACCATGCGTGCAATTACCACGCGTTAAATTTCCACGCGTGGAATTACTACGCGCCGAATTACCACGCGTGGAATTACCATGCGTCGAAATACCACGCGTCGAACTTCCACGCGCCGAATTACCACGCGTGGAATTACCACGCGTGGAATTACCACGCGTCGAACTTCCACGCGCCGAATTACCACGCGTGGAATTACCATGCGTCGAAATACCACGCGTCGAACTTCCACGCGCCGAATTACCACGCGTGGAATTACCATGCGTCGAAATACCACGCGTCGAACTTCCACGCGCCGAATTACCACGCGTGGAATTACCACGCGTGGAATTACCACGCGCTGAATTACCATGCGTGCAATTACCACGCGTTAAATTTCCACGCGTCGAATTACCACGCATGGAATTACCACGCGCTGAATTACCATGCGTAGAAGTCCCACGCGTCGAATTACCACGCGTGGAATCACCACGCGCCAAATTACCATGCGCTGAATTACCATGCGTGGAATTACCATGCGCTGAATTACCATGCGTGGAATTACCACGCGTTAAACTTCCACGCGTCGAATTAGCACGCGTGGAATTACCATGCGCTGAATCGCCACAGGCCATAATGTTAAATAGAAAGAGTTCACTATACCTTCCACAATTAGACAGATGTTATTGCACCCTGAAATATTTTTCAGAAAATATAGACTTAACCTTGCATTATCTATTTGCAGGATGTTAAAGCTGTTATCACGCATTCCATTCACAGCACACTGAACTCGATCGGTGGCATTCAAGTGCTGTTCCCTTTATTCTCACAACTAGATATGCCATACGATTGTATAGCGCCGAACGACGTTAAACGAGATCCCACGTTATGGTAAATAATTTTATACAGTGAATAAAAAATAATGTTCGAATCGGAATGAGTTAGTTTTTATTATAAATTAGAATGTTGGGTGAACGGAGTACAAATTGAATTTCGAGTAACTTTGGAAGGGGTTGAAACGGCTTTACAGTTATGAGTCACGTAACGCGAGTTTGAATTTCCAGTTCAAAACTGTTGGGGTTTATCTGCGATCTGGTGGAAAGTTCGCAAACCGTACAGCAACATATGGTGCAAAACAGGGGATTTTTGGTAATTAGCTACATGCTCCAGAGAGCAAGCAGAGACCACCTTACTACTGAAGTTCTCGCATCGTTCTTGGAACTCACTAAACATTTGGTCACCTGTCTCAGCGCCAACAGCGATTTGTTATTAAAACAGGTATCGATTAAGTCATTAGTTCAATTTTCATATCGATTAGAGTTTAATTAGAATTAGAATTAAGTATTCAGTAGAATGCGGATGTTTATGCATTTATAATATAACAGCAAAATATAAACTGCAAGATGTCATTGAAATACAAATTAAATTCTGTTGTTCACGCGATATTGCGTGATGGTTGCAATACTTAAATGTGACATACAACGATATATTTTTTAACTGATTTTATAAAAGTGTATCAACCTGCATAAACATCTACAATCTCGTAATTAATAGTATTAATAGTATTGATTGGATGTAGGATAGAACGTTAAATCGATGAAAGAGAAAGTAGAAGATTCACTAAAATTAAAAGAAATCCAAGTAGATTTGCAAAAGAAGTGAAATCATAGTTTGCACGAAAGTGGTAGAAAATCGATCGTACATTATAAAAATACTTTTACCAGATTTATTTATCAAATAAGTTAAGATAATTACATCTTCGTGCAATCTCACGTTTTTCAGTCTGCATCAAATTCGTCCTGGTTGATGAATTATCTTAACCACTAGCGTATACTAATTTAATTAAATTATTCAACTCCACAAATACCCTGAACGAGATATTAATGAACATACAATTAGAAAGTTAGGTCAGGGTTTGTACCTGAAAGAGTAGCCCCTTATTATTCGTGAAGTGTTCAAACCCCTTAGCAAATTTTTCATCGTTCCCATTTCGAGATGTGTAACCCATCCCTATCGTTTTATTTCTATACAGTAGCATGAGCAAAAGAACTGTCTTACGTCGTATTATTTTTTCTGTATGTATACCTATCGATATTTGTTTGTTTACTTGTACATTGGAGAATGGTAGGCTTTCTAGGGATAATGGTGCTGTGGGGGAAAGAGATATATTCGGTTATTAATTGGTCAATGGATGTTAGAATTTGTGATGTTTGAGGATTTGGGAAATTGCAAATTTGGGGTTTGAGAAGGGTGGAAATATTGCAATTTGAAGGTTTGGAGATTTGAGGATGTAGGGAATTGGGGGTGCAGGGATTTCAGGGTTGCAGGGATTTGGGGGTGCAGGGATTTGGGGGTGCAGAGATTTGGGGGTGTAAGGATTTGGGGGTGCAGAGATTTGAAGACTGAGGAATTTGGGGCTGCAGGGATTTGTATACTGAGGAATTTGGGGGTGCAGAGATTTCAGGGTGTAAGGACATAGACAGTGAGGAATTTGGGAGTGTAGCAATTTAGGGGTGTAGAGATTTCAGGGTGTGGGAATTAAAAGACGTAGGTATTCAGCAATTTATAGATACTAAGATATGGGGTTTGCAGGTGTAGGTATTAGTCATTTGAGGATATGATGATGTGGCTACTTGGGGCTGTAAAAATTTGCAGATTGAGATATTTGAAGGTTTAGGGTTGTAGAATTATAGAAACTTAGTAGTGTCATTGGAAGATGAATTTTGGGACTTATTCAACAATTAAAAAATTTATAAATTCAAAAACTTGACCCAAAATTGTCACAACTTAAAAATTCAAACTCTAAAAAATGATCAAATTCACACCCTTAATTTCTCCAAATCAACCAGTGCAATTTAGTAGTTTCACCATTCAAAGAAAGCCTACTACCCGCAAATGTACAAGAAGAGACCGCCCGTAGACGCTGTGAATGTTAAACGCTGTTTATAATGTACTTTTGTTCGTAAATTAGTTTGATCCGTTCAAGCATGACTATTACTCTCTTCATAAACGACATTGTGTTAATGAAATCTTTGGATCGCATGCAATCTACCGACTTTTAGGCTTCCTGATTTCATAATATGGCTACGCAACATATTTTTGTTCCCGTTAAGTCGCTTCCATATTGAAAATTTCTATCTATTATTTTGCAACGCTGATGAATATTCTCTTTGCTGTAAATCTTTCTCAGTTTTCTATTCGCGACAATGCTACAAAAAAGAGCGTACCACAAGGAATACTGTCTTTTGTTGAAACTTCTAATACTTCGCTTTATATTCTATCAAGGATGCCTATCGCCTTTGACAGTGCTACTTTTCTTTTTATATGCACAGTTCAAGTATTGGGACGTCCCTACGCGATCGAAAGCTAAATCATGAAAGAAAGGAAGATTTCAGTGTCTATACGGAAAAGATCAAGACTTGTGTGATTTATAAACGGTTTTTTTCATAAATGTTCCACATTCCTACAATTTCTGTGTGAACTTTTGGAGGATATGGATAGATAAGCTGTTACAAATAATTCTTCGTTTATGACTCTACAATTTTATAGTTTTAGAATTTTTAGAATTTTAATGTTTTTAAACATTTGATCATTCAGGTTTTAAAATATTGGAAACACTTGCAACTAGAGTTTTTCAATAGTATAACCTTGAAACTTTAGAATTGTATAGTTTTTTAAGTTCATGTCAATTCGAACTTGATGTAAGAAAAGTTACTGTATTAACAAAATCGATACTGAATTTTTAGCTAATTAATATAAATGCAAATTTAAAAAATCAAAGACCACAATTGTATTAACTGTTAATAAAAATATCTCTTAGTTTTTAAGTACAACATTTAGTTTCTTAAAAAAAAATTCTACTAATTTATCTATCCACATCTTTGTCTCAATATTGTCTTCGAAACTGATCTCGATGCATGAGTGTTCGACAAGTGTCACTCTATTCTCCTCAATCCACTTTTCTTTCCGATATTTATCACAAATCGTAACGAGGAATTTGGTACCTTGAACAACCCCATTTACGCTTCTCTCTACCGGTGTCCTTGCACAAGAACGAATATCAAGCTCCCATTCGAAGTTCCTGACAAATGTACACCATTGTAAAAAGCGCAACAACAGGAACAATCGGTTTTTATTATCCTGAAGAACGAGTGAAAATGAAGTGAACCCAGGCAGACATAGGAATTGATAAAAGTCGGCTAGATTGGTGTGTCCGAAGAACAGGCAGATCCATGGTGATGTAGTTGTTTTACTTTTCATTCCTAACATGGCAGCTATTGGATCACGTGCTTTTTAATCCCGCTCTGTGGATATATACGCCGGCGCCGGTGCAAACCCGGCTTTATTCGTACTTGGCCACAGAGTTCCTCAGTGACACGCAAATATATTCTAATGTAAGAAGAGTCTCCACAGTATTACAAACGGTACACACGCTTAAATACTACTATTGGGTTGCCAATCCACGAGCCAAAAGTGGTATCACTCCAAAAGGACTTGGTGAGTAATTTCTCATTTCAAATTAAACCGTTTACATTTGTTCATTTAATTAATCTCTTTCGATTTATTACAGATGGACCACGACCACAACAGAAGGATATCTTGACAATACGCTCTTATATTTTGTTATTTCTCAAACAACTGATCATGATCGGGAACGGAGTCAAGGACGACGAACTGCAGAGTATTCTTAATTACCTGACGACAATACACGAGGTAACTTAAAAATTATTCTTAAGAATTGTAGAATAACTAAGATCAATTTCAACTACCCATCTTTTTTGAACTACCCAGAGGTAATCACAATTAAAGTTTCGATTTCTTTTGTGTATCAACAGGACGAAAACTTGCACGACGTTCTGCAAATGTTAATATCGTTAATGTCTGAACACCCATCGTCAATGGTGCCTGCTTTCGACGCAAAGCAAGGCGTCCGAACGATCTTTAAACTGCTAGCTGCAGAAAGTCAGTTGATACGTCTACAGGCACTGAAGTTGTTGGGATTCTTCTTGAGCCGTAGCACGCACAAGTACGTGAACAAACCGTATAAATTAATTGACAATTTATACGTGCTACAAGAATGTTTCAATTACAGACGAAAATACGACGTCATGAGCCCACATAATCTGTACACGTTACTTGCCGAAAGGTTGTTGCTGAACGAGGAGACACTGTCGTTGCCAACGTACAATGTTTTATACGAGGTATCTAATTTATCGATAGTTTTAATCAGATTTCAACGCAAGATTATCCTTGCAACGATATTCACGTGTCAAATTTTCAGATCATGACGGAACAGATTAGTCAACAGATCCTTTACGCCAGACACTCTGAACCGGAGTCTCATTGTCGTCTAGAAAATCCAAGTAAGTAAACAAATTTCTCCTAGAAAATATTCCCATGTGGCATGTTACTATTCGTTACTTGTATCTTTTCAGTGATTCTCAAAGTAGTAGCGACGTTAATTCGACAATCAAAGCAAACGGAACAGCTGCTGGAGGTGAAGAAGTTGTTCCTCTCGGACATGACGCTACTATGCAACAACAATCGAGAAAATCGACGAACCGTTCTGCAGATGTCCGTGTGGCAGGAATGGCTGATCGCTATGGCCTATATTCATCCGAAAAACACTGAGGAGCAGAAGATCTCGGATATGGTGTACTCGTTGTTTCGCATGCTTCTGCATCACGCCATTAAGCACGAGTATGGTGGATGGCGCGTGTGGGTGGACACTTTGGCAATCGTTCATTCCAAGGTAGATATATTACAATTAGGACTTTAGGATACAATAATTTAGTTTAGCAACTAAAACCAATGTTTAAACTTTGGATAGGTACCATCCAACTTTTGTTATAATATGACTATTTAGCTTAGGAAATAAAAATTAATAATGTATCAACAGAAAATATCGTATATTAATGTGTTGAGTCTCGACTGTTCAGGTATCCTACGAAGAATTCAAGCTTCAGTTCGCTCAGATGTACGAGCATTACGAGAGGCAGCGATCAGATAACATTACTGATCCCGAGCTAAGACAGCAGAGGCCGATTAGTACTATCTCCGGTTGGGATCAGCAGCATTCGGGGAATAATGGGTATAATAAACCATCGCCCTGGGGCAATCAACAGAATCACGAAGTACAACACGTAGAGAGGAATTATAAGGTATAGACATCAAATTATGGTCTTGAACAAAACCGTCGCTCCCTAAATTCCTGTACCTCTATGATGTTGTATAAACTCATTAAGTAAATCAACCCTAACATGTCAGGCACTGTACAATCTTAAACTGCTAATCACTCTATAATTTTCAACTGCCAGTTACTGTACCCTACTTTGAAAACTCATATCCTACTCTGAAAGCTATTTTACATTCAATATATCTGAATCCTAACCTCATGAAAATTTGAAGTTTGTCATACATTTTAAGCTTGGATGTCGATTTGATTGCAGGAGTTTGACGCGTCCGAAGGAAACGATCGGCTGGAAGAATCTTGCAGCTGTGATTTGAACTCGATAGACAATACCGAAAGCGACAGTAGTCCCGCGATCGTGAAATCGCACAGCGAAACACTGGACACCCCGCAGTCGAGCGAGGCGATATCCCTGGACTCCAGACTGAGCGACAAGCCGGAGACGCCGACCACAGCTCGCGAAGTTCACACGGACACTCCGACGATTCTCGAAGAAGCCAACAGCGAACCAATTTCCGTGCCAACTACGCAAGAGACCAGCGAAGCGATATCGATCGAGAGTTCCAACGATTTGTACAGCGAGGTACACAAGATCGACAGTTCCAGTCCGGATTCGATGACGGTGCAGGAGGCGATGAAGAAGGATGAGGAACCATCGGAGGAGAAAGCGGAAGATACTGTCCCTGAATCGTCTCCTGTTAAGCAACCGGAAGAAAACGCACAGGTCGAAGAGGATGCCGAGCAAGAGGAGAAAGCGCCGAAAGATGAAGCAAATGTAGCTGATGAGACTTCTGAAACCCAGCAACCGAAAGAAGACAATGAGACTCCTGTTACCGAAACGGAAGAGGAAGAAACGAGCAAGGAGAAGTCTGATGCAGCAGACAACGTTACTCCGAGCGAGGATGTTCCTTCTAATACGGAAGACGACGAGAAAGTGGAAACACCTGACGAAAGTTCGACGGAAGTTGCGGTTTCGACGGAACTGGCCGACTCGGATAACGTACCGAGTACGTCTCCTGGCGAGACACCTGAACCGTTAGTCATCAAGGAGATCGAGAAACTGCAATTGGAGAACGATCGAGAGGTGATCGACAGTGATACCTCGGAAGCGTACTTGACACCGACGGAGAACCAGGATAACTTGAGCGACATAAAGACCAAAGCTTTAGAGGCGGAAAAGTCCGAGGACAATGTGGAGGACGTTCAGGATGCGGAGAGTACGGCTGTTCAGGTTGAGAATAACGAAAACGAAAACGAAAGGGAGGAAAATGCGAAGAATCCCAATTGCTCAACTAGCGTAATAGAAAGTACGGAAACCGGTGAAGAGAAGGTAGATGTAGAAGAGAAGAAAGTGGAATCTGTAGTAGTGACTAGTGAGTTAAGTAGTGACAAATGCGCCGTGGACTCTGCGACAGAGGACAAAAGTGCTGTTATTAATGATAACGATGAGAAGGTAATTGATAAACATTCAAGGGAGCCGTCCACTATTTCTACTAACGTAAGTGATAATCAGTCAGACATTCCGGTGAGAACTGAGACCGAGGTAGAGGTTACAGATAGTGTTTCTAGTAATAGCGATATTCAAAGTTCTGTAGATAATGTGACGCAAGTGCCAAATCCTAAGCAGCAAATTCCAACAATATCTACGGTCTGTGATGCTAATACAAATATGCCCGACGGTGTGCCTCAAATCGTTAGTTCTACTGTGGTTACGAGGGATAATTCGTTGTTGAATGACTTGACTCCAGATCACGTAGATACCCATCGCAGATCCAGTTTACCGACTGTACCCTCTGAGACAGCCAACGATGATAATGTTAACAGTAACAATAACGAACCTCCTTCTTTACCTGTACCCTTGCGAAAAACATCGTCACCCCAAAAGCGACCAAGGAGTGCCTCAACTTCCACGCAAGTGGATCCCAATCATTTCGGTAAGAACCATGTTAAAACTGAAATTGCATATTTCAAAAATTGATAATCACCAAATTCTCTGTGACACTATTCAGCAAAACCAACAATTACATAACCTATGAGTTTATGACCGCTATTGTTATAGAGTCAAAACGATCGAAGCAAGGTAATCCTTCCACGAGACCAATGTTTAGTCCAGGACCGACTCGACCTCCTTTCAGAATACCAGAATTCAAATGGTCTTACATACATCAAAGATTACTCTCGGATGTTCTTTTCTCGTTAGAGACAGACATTCAAGTCTGGAGAAGGTACGTAAAATAATATTTTTCTAAAGTAGTGTCCGAGCAAATTGAAAATGTGTCCATCCGTGTTTCAGCCATTCAACGAAATCAGTGTTGGACTTTGTAAACAGCAGTGAAAACGCGATTTTTGTTGTTAATACCGTTCATCTAATTTCACAACTGGCTGACAATCTTATTATTGCCTGCGGAGGATTGTTACCGCTTCTAGCGTCGGCTACCTCGCCAAATGTACGTAGAATTTTTCTCCGAGTTTACTTGTTTTCAATTATCAGATAGAACAGCATATCCGGGTGAAAGTTGTTTTTCACGGATTCGTTTTTTTAATTCGTGCTTGGATATATTCATAGAGCGAATTGGATGTAATTGAACCAACTCAGGGGATGCCAATTGAGGTAGCAGTTTCTTTTCTGCAAAGACTAGTCAACATGGCTGATGTACTTATCTTCGCCAGCTCTTTAAATTTTGGTGAACTGGAGGCTGAGAAGAATATGTCTAGTGGCGGTATTCTAAGGCAGTGTTTACGACTGGTTTGTATTATCGTCCACGTAGTATTTTAATTTCTTTTTCTAAGACAGATACACTATGATTATAGTCCCAGTCACGATATAGCGAGGTCATAAATTGTACTGTCATTCAGTACATAGACTCTCAAGATTGTTTCATTTCAATAGAATGCTTTAAAGTTTGCAAACTTGAAATCTTGATGATCTTGAATTAAGTTTAAACTGCTTTGCGACCACATTATATTATGACAGAGATTATGTCACATGACACAACTTCTACTTTACAATCTTCGTGATTTTCTTCAAATAATATTTATCGTGGAAAATTGAAAAACATTGATAGATCAAAAGTCATCAATGTTTAGATTACACTGACGAATTCTGTGACAAGTAAAATTTATTGATAACACACACACCATGGGTTGACCTTGTCTTTCGATACCTTTGCTAAAAGAATAATTATGTTCTTCTTCTCTATATTTTAGAAAGACAAGATTTACCTATATTAGGTTTATCATACACATATTATATAGTATGCTTCGTATGAATTTTTTTACATGTGTGTATATATATATATGTGTTTCATAGTATGATAGCACATACAACCTAATGAAACTCTACATATAGATTATCAAGAAAAAAGTAAAATTAAAACACCGTCTACTAATTGATGTAATTCGACGAAAAGTTCACAGATCTATTCACAAGTCATATAGAACTTTCACAACAGAGAATCACACATTTCAGACAAGGAGCGCACTAAAAAGATCCCAACACTACTGTAGTCCATAAACAGACTCTTATTAATAGAATAGTTCTTGAGACAGCAGTGTGTTAAATAGTTGTAACATTTTTAGTTTCTATATGTACAAGATAGAACTTCAACATGTACGTTTACACTGTGTTTTTTGTTATATTCATCTGATGAAATGCTTCTATAGGTCTGTACATGTGCCGTTAGAAACTGCTTAGAGTGTAAAGAACGTGGCAGATCGTACAGCATGTTAGGTCGGCAGATTGGTACTAGTAATAAATCACAGCACATACAGTCTCTTATACGAGGAGCTCAAACATCACCCAAGGTATGTTTCATCCGATCGAACTTAATTTATATAGACAAAATGTATTTACTGTCATCGATGCTGACAAAACTACACGCATTGTGTATTTATCAAAAGCCATGTCATATAGAAAATAGCATTCTCAGTGGCTATGGGTGTTAGTTGTTCACAGTGGGATAAAGTGTAGTTTCTGTTTTTGTAGAACATAGTGGATAATCTGGCACATCAATTAAGTCCTGTAAAAGACCCTGAGAAATTGCTGCAAGATATGGATGTGAATCGTTTAAGAGCTGTGATATACAGAGATGTTGTAAGTATATTACAAACAGTGACATAAATGTGAATTGCATATTGGCAATAAAAATGTTTAAATTTTGTTTTAGGAGGAAACCAAGCAGGCCCAGTTTCTGTCCCTCGCTATAGTTTACTTCATCTCTGTACTAATGGTATCAAAATATCGTGATATACTGGAACCACCAATATCGCAACGTCCACCAAGTCCAGTTCAAACGATACAAACTAACGGTGCTGGTCTAAGACCAGGTAGCCCCTCAGGTAAGATATACATCATTCTATAAAATCTATTGCGATAAAATGACACAGCATAGATTACCAACATCCGATGAAATGTTGATAAATGTTAGCTTTATCGATGCAGATATAGAATTGTAAATGAATCATGAAGGAGCATTGATGACCAGATTTCAATATAAATAACGAAAGTAATAATAGTTATCATTTGCAGGGATCAAAACAAATGTTAACGAAATACACAAAGATTATCGAAGTTGATGTTAATATATGCATGTTCGATTTGAAACATATATATGTGTTAACCCTAACAAATTTTACACAGTTTAACGAAAACTGATTAACGTCAATGATATTCAACTGTTACTTCAAAACTCTTACATGTCAGATATGCATTGCTGCATTAAAACTAATTAATAACAGAACTACATTTTGGTGTATTTCACATGTAACACGATGAGCATGATTATGAAGCAGCATGTTTTTCATGATGTTTATGCAATTCAAATATAATTAGACTTCTCAGTGAACTAAGTATAATGAAACTTGAGTTTCTGAAATACAAAACATAAGCAAACATATGAAAAAGTTTCTTATATTGTACTTATCATCTTAAAATTCAATAATGTATAAATGAACATAATCGTTTTAGTTCTGAGCGAATCAAAATTTTACATATAAATGTGTTCACAAATATGTAGCTACTATGGAACACCGTGCACTTTAACTGTGTAGCAGCAAAATAAAAGCAGCACACCACACTAACTATAGAGCATGTTCAATTGCACCGTATGAACTATTGTTATATGTATCTGACAGTGAGAGTTTTGATGTTTGTTGAATGTATCAGCACTTTTTTTTGAGTTTAAACATATTTTTATCACTGTTACTTTCTATTATAACATTTACTTGAAACAAAAGTCTACGAAAAGTTTGTTATAATGCAGGCAGAATATGCTAATTGTTATATGTCTTAAATGGTCTTTTGACTCTCTGATGCTCCTAAAGTCAATATTTTAAACAACACAATAATTTAGTTCCTAGTGAACGTTTGAAGTGTTTATCCTTACTGAGTTTCACTCTACTTATATTTAAAAGAATAATTTGCAGTAATTTTTCAAACAATTTGACATGATAAATGAAAGACACACTCTATTAAAGACGAAGTACAAAACTACTGAGTATAAGTATACAAATTTAGAGTTTAACTATGTATATAAATTTGACTGCAGATAAAAGACGTACAATTTTATTGCATAGAAATGAAGCCCATCGTTGCTGAAACCAAAAATAAATAAAAATGGACCTAATACACGTTCGATGACATACTTAATATTTCATGTAACAAGACTGTATTTTAGATATCAGAAACCCAAATCCCTAAATCCCTATATTTGTAATATTCAATACGATCCAGCAGTGGTTCGGTCTCTGTAGAACATTGCTCTCCATATTATGCGAAGACTGTATTCGCTAGTACAGTAATGAATCGTAGAGCTTGAGTTTAGCCGCTAGAGTGAAACCCAGTACAAAGCTGACATAGAAATAAAATGAAAAGAGAAAAGGCACGAAAGAAAGTGTACATCCAGAATGGTGGTAACGTGGTAAATGTGGTTCCTCAGCAGATGGGAATGGTGGTGGAGGAGGGCGGCCCCTGTTTCCACAGTGGTCTCACCACGTGTACCCACAGTTCCTCCCGGGATCTCACCCTAACGCCAATGCGAATGCCAATGCCAATGCCAACCACCATATGAACCAGCACCACCACCAGCACCCGCTACCGGCTGCCAGGCACTCTAATCGCCAGCCCCCCTCCAACTATTATCTCCCGAATCACCACAGTAATCATTACAACCATCATCCGAATAACCATAACTATCATCGTCATCATCATTACCATCATCACAATAACAACAATCACCATCATACGCTTCAAAAGCATATCGATCAGCCCCGAAATCTCTGTCATAGAAACTCCGGTGTTGGTCTGCAAGGTAACTCGATTGCCCGAACGTTGTGTTCCACGGAATGCTCCACTTTCTTACTTTACTTTCGCCTGCTCGATTTTTACCTGTCGCATAAAAGCGGGATTTCCTAGAAGGATATTTACGAGCATTTTCTGACGAATAGGTTTTGGTTTTTGGAATATTGGATGATCGACAATGAGGTTCAGAAAGGTATATGTAGTTTAGACGCTCTTTAGGAGAAGTGTAAGTGAGGCTTCTTTTTATACTGAGGCTTTTTAACATTTTAGTGTTATCAAATGTCCAAGTATATTGGCTTAACAATTTTTGAAGCTTGGCTCGTGGATTCCAAGTTCTAAATTTCTCTCTAAATTAAACAATTTTCAAGCTGCTCCCCAGGTCCAAAACTACTATACTTCAGATTTCTCAAGTACAAAAATCTTCCAAGTTCCAAATCTTCTAAGTTTCGAAATTCCCAAAGTTCCAAGCTCTCAAGTACTAAAACCTCCCAGCTTGAAATCTCCCAAGTTCTAAAGCCCCCATACCTCAGATTTCTCAAGTACAAAAATCTTCCAAGTTCCAAATCTCCTAAGTTTCGAAATTCCCAAAGTTCCAAGCTCTCAAGTACTAAACCTCCCCAGCTTGAAATCTCCCAAGTTCCAAACCTCTCACTCTTAGAATCTTTTAAATTCCAAATCTGCCCTTTTACAAATTCCACAGCTCCCAAGTTCTTCAAGTTAAAATTACACCGTAGAGAAGTTTCCATTGTACAATAAAAATTCGTCAGGATGCGTGTGGTGCTTATAGAAAATCCCGCCTTACTCGACCGCAAATGAACTATCGACACCATTTGTTTTCGCGTTTTCCTTCTTCCTCGGTCTTGACGCGTTGATATTTCTGTCTGCATGCTATCGTTCACCAAGGGCTCTTTCGCGTAATTACTGTCAGAGTAATTTTCGCGTATCTGACTAAATCGTAACTGACAAGGATTCATGATTCACCTTTCCAGAAGTATTAGTCTAAACTCGAGCTTCTGAATGCTTTGACGTTGATATACAATGTTCCCTTTCATTTCTAACTTCCTTTTTAGTTATGACTACTAACTATTGAAATTAACTTGATTAGAACAGAAAGGTGAATTTTATGAATCTCCATCGATCGAATTTCGATCATTCGCTATTTGACTGTACACACACATACACGTGCACGTACATATACACACAAGCATCGTTTCAATTTTTATTTGGCAAATTTTTCTTTTCACTGAATTTTTGATAGACTTGTGTTGCAATAAGTTTCTTGAAGATTACATGAACGTTTGCTTGCAAAAGAAGAAGACAAAGATTTTACAAGAAGATGTATACATTTCCTTCGAGTGTATATAATACATTCGTTGCTATTTTCAATGGACATGGCGAATGTTGTTCGAAAGCTTGGCGCACATAAACCGAATGAATATGCACAACTTGCGTATGATCTGCAAGTACCAGCAAGTTTGCATGCCCGTTCAAAGTTGTAATCCAACTATGCAAATTTACGTAACTATGTTAACTCCGTTAACAGGGTTCGCTAAGCGATAACACTTGCACCATTTTGCTGTTCGAACTTGTCCAAAGTAATACGATGAAGCGCTACGAGAATATTACAAATTTTAAGTCATACGAAATCTCTGCGAAGCAATTGATGCATTTGAAACATTTCTTAAGATTTTCTTATGTTTACTGCAGTTAAGTATTTTATTCGTGATAACTGTTCGAAGTGAGAGGAAGGTTTATGATTTTGATACAATGTTCCTCGAATTTCAAATGGTCAAACATTTATGAATGCGTTGAATTATGCTTCGTTTGTTCCTTTCCGTTTTGAGTTTCTGCACTACAATGCATCTCCTTTCCTAATGCGATCGACGTGCTGTTATCTCTTGAGAGCATCGTTCTAGCGTGGGGTGTTGAAGATCAAAATTAAATAGAAGCAAAACAAGTTTACAGTAATAATAAAATTACAGTAGTAACTGTAGTACCATAGCAAAATATTTGACAGTAAAAATTGTAAGAACCAAGAATTTTTAACTAAATTTTTTGACCGTCGATCGCATCGTCGTTCATGTCAGCCTGCTTAGCAAAAGTTCCCTCGCGTCCAGAACACATTGTCACGTGCTCAACTTATGTTCCCAGGAAGCGGAGGTATAATGAGCCAAGCTGGTTCTCAGGACGACGGTGAATACGAGGTTATAATCGTCGACGAGAACAACTCGTCGATCCTGGCCGATCACGACGTGACGTCATCGGGTCCACCCTCGACGAAGGTAAGTGACCACGCAATGTCCCCGTTCGTTTTACATCTCTTCGATAAGATCGAATTTTTATCGTGCTTCATTGAAACGTGCAACGTAAAAGATCTACCTGTGCGTACATCGGGATTAATTGATGCATTATTCTCAGGTAAAAAGGTCTAGCGATTCTCTCCTCGGTATTGTCCGTAAACGAGGACAATTGTCAAAGTTTCATTCGAAGATTTTCGATAAACGAAACATGGGTGCTCGTTTATTTGTGACTATATGAAACTGCATGCGATTTTCTATATCGAGTAACTTACGATATGTGTTTCCCGAAGAAAAATTTGAGAACCGTTTGAAAATCATGATTTTATACATATATATATTGTGTTGTATATATTCGATCATTTTCGACAATATTTTGCACCTTTGTCACGCACGATTCTGATGAAATCGGCACTTTTAGCCTACGCGATACGCTTTGCATACGTTTCTTCAACTATCACTTTTCGATTCTTCTTCTGTCGATACTTCAGAACCCAATATCCACGCCGTGGGTATTTTTAATATCCAGTATATCGAAACGTTTCATTTAAACAGCGACCAAGAATTGCATGCATCCCGAGTACTGATAGCTTAACACGTTAGAAGCCGTGGCTTTTAATAAAATTTTCAAAAAGTTTCTACTAGATTTGAGAATTAAGCTATTTCTGACTTTGTGTAATTTCTTTGACTGCGGCATTTAACGTGTTGATAACGAAAAGTAGATCTTTAACGATGGAAGTAAAGACTTTAAAGAGAAGTTATAGAGGTAGCCTTTAAGTAGTTCTATAGATTAGACAACCCCGAAATAATACTTTGATCTAATTGTGTAATAGCTCCTATTTAATCCAGCATGTAGTGTTCACTTTAATACGATACTTAACTTTGCTCCTCGCACTTGAGTAGATCACAGTAATTATTCGGTTATACTTAAAGTTTCATTATCGCACGTGAAGTTTATTAAGGGGATAAAAATTGAAGGACCAATTTTGAAATTAAATGAAGAAGGAAAAAATTGTTAAAGAGTATCAAAATCTTGTTTCAAGTAATTAAGATTGTAATTCCAATGGTGGCCACTGGAAGCGTTGTACTGTATTCACAGCTGGTAAAGAAGAAATTGACAGGAATAGGGACTCTGAGATTTGTTAGAATTAAACTAAAGAAGTATTGGATTATGTTCAATAATATTGGATAATACAACATCATAATTATACTAATAATAGTCATAATTATACTAGTGAAAGACTTTTTTAAACAAAGATGCCATTTTCTTTTCCTTAACTCTCGCGTACATCACCAGATAGCGCAACGATCTGAAAAATTAAACTCAGATTTCAAAATTGGTTTTCTATGATTGTCCTTTCAATTATATTATGCTGATAAAGAACTCCTTTGAATCGACGTTGAGTACACAAATATTTAAAAAATTATATCATTGTGGAATATGAAATTAAATCCTTGAGACCTAGCAAGTTATTTTGACAATAACTAAAATATAAGTAAATAGAATTAGAAATGGTGGATATTTGATGAGTTGTAAATTATGTAGGTGTGTACCTATGTACCTCGCCAAGAGTAATTTTATATTTGTGTTGGTAACGTCGAATTTAAAGGAGTAAATCCGTATGTATTTTCCCATAACGACTACAGTAGGTCTATCTTGTAATTTCGCGGTTCTATAATTCTGTGAAGCATGCGATACTGTTACTCTCGAATTTTTCTCATCGTTAACTTCCTCTGCTTGCATTGCTATGCGTACTAACTACTGGTTCTGAAGGGAGGTCACAGTGGTGTACCTCGGCCACGGACCATTCTCGAGGATTACACCTCGTCAGAACCAACGCTTGGCTCTTCGACAAGATCCGAACCACTGCCACGAAATATCCAGGTAAAATTTCACTTTCAGTTAGGACACCGAAGAAAGATCTTAATTAAATGAGACATCTTTTCTCTGTACGTTGACCGAATTATCTATCGACGATCGTCCACGTTTTGGGAGCGTTCGAAATACGTTTTCAACCACTACTATTTTATTTTTTTTTTTTTTATTGAAAAGCAAGGAGACATCGACGGCACGTAGGAATCCATTCGGCGAAGATAGGAAACAACCTGTAAAGGAATCAAGTCGTGTTTCTCTTTACGATGTTTATTCACGTAAACTTTTTCTACGTAGCATTGTTTCGTTATGACGGTGATGAACGCAGTTTACACGGGTACACAAGATTGTTCGAACAATGTGTTCAGAATTTGAGTATACACCTCTGCAAAAAATTTATTGCCTCACATTTTTGTTAACATGAAGAGTCATCGTCGGAGAGTCAATTTTATTTCATTCATTAAAATTTGTTTTCTTTTTGAACCAAACTGACTATTTGAATATATACAAAAGATCTTAAAATTGCATCTGAAAGTACTTAAAACCTAGAGAAATTTCCTATCACATCAAACCTGAACTCAGGAAGAAAATCTACACCTAAAAAATATCGCCAGACGCACTTAGTTTGTTGTAAAGTAAATTCAGAATTTTAAGCTTGAGTTTAATAATGAAGTATTATATATAATTTTAATAAAAGAATAGTGAAAAATTCAGCTGAAATTGTTCGAACAGTTTCGTGTAACGGTGTAACAATTGCGATGCTCTCCGTCGTAACCCAAGAATCTAAGAAGCTTTTATTCCTTGTTTACTAAGTATTAGGTGATTGTATTTTAGTGGTGTACGATTAATTGCATGATGTCAGGTAAATGCATAGCACGCGAGACTTAATCGCAGAGTATACCGTTTGATTCCTACAAGTAAACGTTCCTAAGACTGTTATAGAACTTAACGATTAGTGTGTTGAACGGAAGCTAGGCTTTCGTTAGAGACAGTATTCAGTATCGTAGTTAATGTAGCGGTAGTTCAGATAATCTTGATTTTAAAGTAACCTAATCGAACACACATTTCGATACACTTTCACATGAATCTTTACATTAAAAATGGAAAAGAATTCTCTTGACATCTATTTCATTTACGAAATCGTGCTGAACTCGTACGTGTACATTTTTTTAAGCTCGAGCTCGTTCATTCGTGACTTCGATTTGCATAACGTAAACTATACTTTCTCTTAGAGCAACGACTCCAGCGAAGAGACGGTACATAGAAGCAATATTACCGCTGACCCCAGTCCGTCTGAGGTTACCACGGATAATGAAAACAAGCACAACTCCTCCGAGGAAGCTTGGACCGATGTGAACCTCAACGAGGATGGAGATACTATCCCCATGACGAATCAGAGGGAAGACCCGCGAAATATTCACAATATGACTCATTCTCGTGGTGAGAATTCTTTCTTTCGTGTGGAGAAAAGTAGATATATATCAAAGGAATATGTGGATTTTTAGACTTCTATACAGATAGATTCTTATATCTTAGAATCCCTATATCTCAAGGACCATTTCAAATTCTTTGAGTTCTTGGTCCAAGGGATCTATGTCCCAGGATCACTATTAGTTCAGATTCTAAGATTTCAAGGTTTCTATGTTCTGAGAATCCTATATTCCAAAATACCTACATTCCTAAATCCCTAAGTCCCTAGATTCTCACTTCTTGGAATCCCTATAATTCGAAATTTCTATAATAACAGATCTCTACATCCACAGATCCCTACTACCCCAAATTTCAGCGTTTCAAAATTTTTATTGTGCCAGATACCTACACTCCTAAATCCCTACGTCCCCAGATTCTCACCTCTTGGAATCCCTACAATTCCAAATTTCTATAATTCCAGATCTCTACATCCACAGATCCCTACTACCCCAAATTCCAGCATTTCAAAATTTCTATTGTCCCAGATACCTACACCCCTAAATCCCTACGTCCCCAGATTCTCACCTCTCAGAATCTCTAAAATCCCAAATTTCTATAATCCCAGATCTCTACATTTCTAGATCCCTACTCCCCCAAATTCCAACATTTCAAAATTTCTATTGTCCCAGATACCTACACCCCTAAATCCCTACGTCCCCAGATTCTCACCTCTTAGAAACCCTAAACTTCCAAATTTCTATAACCTCAGATCTCTACATCTCACGATCCCTACTACCCCAAATTCCAATATTTCAAAATTTCTATCTTCCCAAAGTACCTACACCCCCAAATCCCTACCCTCCTAGATTCCAGCATCCCAAATTTCTATACCCCCAAACTGACACCCTAACCTCCCACTAACACCAAATATTTTTAATTTGCAGGCGACATCCAAGACAACGAAGGTAACGTTCTGGAGCAAGAGATGCTCGGCAACGCGGAACGCGGAGAGAAACCATCGGCGGAGATCTCTGTAGTCCGCGTACCGGACAGACTAGTGATGACTTCCGCATCGCCGAGACCCGATGATCTACCGATCAAAAGCCTGGTCGATCATCTGCCGGTACCGACACCATCGCGCGAAGCGTCCCTCACGCAGAAATTAGAAATGGCGCTGGGCTCTGTATGTCCGCTTCTCAGAGAAATCATGGTAGATTTCGCTCCGTTCCTATCGAAAACGCTCGTCGGCTCTCATGGACAGGAATTGTTAATGGAGGGAAAAGGTAGGGGTCGTAAGTAACTGGTGGATCGATCAACTTGCATATTCAATGTATGTACGCTTTTTAACATTGGTGCAAATGTTTTTGAACGTCGGGTTTTGTTGGTGTTCGGTGGCGCTGTTCCTTGTTAGTGGCGAGAATGTTAAATATTTGTAATATAGCAAAATGGCGATGTTGGGAAAAATTATCAATCGTGTATTGGTATTTTTATTATTGGTCTGGGGTATAATTTTTAAATTTGTGAATTTGGAGATGTCTCAGTTGGTATATTTGGAAAATTGTAAATGTCTTCTTTGGTATATTTGAACATTTGTAAATGTCTCAATTGGTACACTTGAAAAATTGTAGATGTCTCAATTGGTACATTTGAAAAATTGTAAATGTCTCAATTGACATATTCGAACATTTGTAAACATCTCAATTGGTATATCTAAAGATTTACTCACACCTGATGTGCTACATTTTAAAATTAATGTATCTCAACATTGACATGCTTGGAAATTTGTAAATTCCTATATTGCTACATTTGAACATTTGTAAACATATATTCAAAAATTTGTAAACGTTTCCCTGTATTTATTTAAAAATTTGCTAAAGTATTCGGCACTCGTGCAACCATTATCGTACAAATTCCTGAGTCCCTTTTTCGACGTCACGTGTACAAACGCGATAAATAAAATTCCAAAATCCAGCCAATTCCAAAAGAAGTTTTTCGTCACATTGTGCATCTTTTTTGTTGCTCAGTTCATCGTGCCGAATATATTCAAATTAGTCACTTTACGGTTTCGCTTAGAAAGATAGAAGGCGTATTCCGGATGATCGTGTGCAGCATATTTGTATTCACGGGGCACGCACGGTCCGCGGCACTTCGCGGGGATTTTATATATTCGTGGAACGTCGCGAATGACGATCGTACCACGTATCGATGCACTTTTATTTTTAACAACGCTCGAAACGATACATTGAGAGTCGTTTATAAATCACTCGGCTGTCTATGTTCTGTTCTATTCCTTACCCTCAGGGACTCGTGTAAAAATATCCTTCGAATTTTCTGTTGCACTTCGAGGTTTATTTTACCCGATAGTGACCTAGACAGTAAAATCTGCATGAAGTAGGCTATATCTTGTATGAAGTAAAAGAGTAGGCACAGTATTATAAAACAGATAGATAGTATAGATTAATTTCCTTTTGTAATTCGTGATCTGTCATCTTCCACACTCCTCTGCATCCGTTGCATTTAACCAAAAAGAATTCAAACCATTTGCAGCTTCGTTTCGCTTAGCTCGACCTCCGTGTTCCTGTTAACCATTTATGTTTCCTTGTTGCTAGGTCTGACCACCTTCAAAAACAGCAATTCCGTGGTGGAGCTCGTGATGCTACTCTGTTCCCAAGAATGGCAGAACTCGTTGCAGAAACACGCGGGCCTCGCTTTCATCGAGCTCATTAACGAGGGAAGGTAAGAAGGGCTCGTTATGATCATCGTAAGAACGACAGAGTTACAACCTCGCGTTGTAAACCGTGCTCGAACAGTCTCGTCCTTTATCGTTAAAAACCTTTATGTTATGCACAGATTACTGTCGCACGCAATGAAGGATCATATAGTGAGAGTGGCCAACGAGGCCGAGTTCATTCTGAACCGTATGAGAGCGGACGACGTTCTGAAGCACGCCGACTTTGAGGTAACTGTTCTTTTTCTTGCAAACTTGTGCTCGAAGTCTTAAGTACAAGATATTGAAAATGAAATTTGTGTCGCAGTCGCAGTGCGCTCAAACGTTGCTTGACCGACGGGAAGAGGAACGGATGTGCGATCATTTGATCACTGCAGCACGGAGGCGAGACAATGTGATCGCGAGCAGGTTGCTGGAGAAGGTCCGAAATATTCTGTCGAACAAACATGGTGCTTGGGGATACATGGATCCAATGGCTGCAAAGTAAGTTGACTGAATTTTCACAGGTTTTAATTGGCACTCGTGGTATTTCTATACGTGGTATCTCCACGCGCTGTATTGTCATGCGTGGTATTTCCACGCGCTGTATTTCCATGCGTGGTATCTCTCCGCTATGTATTTCCACGCGCTCTAATCGCCACGCGTGGTATTTCCACGCATTCTAATTTCCACGCGTCGTATTTCGACACATTCTAATTACCACGCGTTGTATTTCTACGCATTTTACTTACTATGCGTGGTATTTCTACGCGTAGTATCTCCACGCGCTGTATTTCCACGCGTTCTAATCGCCACTGATGGTATTTCTACGCATTCTAATTTCCACGCGTCGTATTTCGACATATTCTAATTACCACATGTCGTATTTCTACGCATTCTACTTACTATGCGTGGTATTTCTACGCGTAGTGTCTCCACGCGCTGTATTTCCACGCGTTCTAATCTGTCACGTAGTACTTCTACGCATTCTAATTACCACGCATTGTATTTCTACACGTTCTAATCGCTACACGTGGTATTTCTACACATAGTATTTTCACACGCCATATTTCAACGCGTTCTAATCGTCACACATAGTACTTCTACACGTTCTAATCGCTACACGTTGTACTTCCACGCATCCTAATCGTCACGCGCAATATTTCCACGCACTATGTTTCCACGCGTTGTATGTCCACGCTCCCTAATCACCACATGTTCTCATCACTACACTCTCTATTTCTCCGCGTTCTAATCGTCATACACAGCATGTTCCCGCGTTCTAACTGTTACTGACTAACTATTCTCTACACCTAACTAACTATTACTCTTAATATATTTGCATCCAGTGTGTCGATAGCTATAATGTTTGACGCATTCGCAAAACAGGTTGGCCGAATACTGGAAGCTAGATGCTTGGGAGGATGATGCACGCAGACGTAAGCGTTTCGTGCACAATCCACTAGGCTCGAGCCATCCCGAAGCTACACTGAAGGCGGCCCTGGAACACGGTGCACCCGAGGATGCGATTCTTCAAGCGCGTGAAGAGTTTCACGCGCATCTCGCAGCCTCGCGTGCACATCAGCAGCAATTGCAGTCGGCGGATCTGATGGACGACAGTGAATTGTTGTCGGACGACAGAGACCTCGACAACGACCTGACAGGTTAGATATTTCGCTTAATTCCCTTTCGTTTACGCGTCAATTTTCCGACCAAATCGTTTCACCGTTCTGTACAAGCTACCGTTGTGTACAAGCTTTAACTAGACCGTGTTCTGTCAGGCCCGGTGAACATCAGCACGAAGGGGAAATTGATCGCGCCCGGTATCGTGGCTCCTGGTATTATCTCCGTCACGTCCACGGAACTGTACTTCGAGGTAGACGAGGATGACCCGGAGTTTAAGAAGATCGACAGCGAGGTAAGTACACGAATGTATGATTGGTACGACGATAAAATGGGGAGCTTAATCATTGCTTGCAATCTTGATAAACAATTATCTGCTTATTAAATATTTTTGATGTCGGAGAAAATTATCATACTAAGAATATTCTGCTACTAAGGAATTTAATATTCTGACTGGTACTTTTTACCTTCTACGTTTTTATACTTTTAGACTAAAATAAAATGTGTAAAATTTTTATGAAAAGTCGTCGATTTTCAATGACATGCAACGAGTTTAATGTTCTAGTACTTGAATAATTAATGCGGTATTTTATTTTATATGACAAAAATATACGGAAAGCGATAACGTTTACATGCACGTTTCCTGTTTCTGTCTTTCTATCGTTTTTTATTCCCCGCCGCAAAAGGTGATCAGGAATTCGAGCAGCATTCGTCACTTTTCGCAACTGTACTCCTTTACCTTGCATTTATCATTCGTCACACGCAATCTCAATAATTAATCACCGTGTCAGTTTGCTCCGCGTTAAGATACCGTCTATTACATGCATTTGGAGCAACTTGTTGCGTTTGCGGAGCTATCTCTTTGAAATATGGTCGCCGGTCGTCCCTTCAGATAACGTTGTCCCTCGTTGAAATCTAGGACCTCGGACACGCTTTACTTTTAGAAATCAACCTGTTTCTTCCTTTTCCTTGCGAAAAGTTTAACGAGCAAGTTGACGAGCAAGAACCTTGCCATCATTAATTTTAACGCGGACACGTTTATTTTGATAAACAGACACCGTAAATTGCAGTTGGGTATCATTTTATTTTTGACCATCACTTTTCCTCAAACTCGAAGAATTTTGCTCTTAACTTTTTAAAAATCACTGTACAGTTCGAATAACTTTGTTTTACAAATTGTAAAATATGAAAAATTGAAGCAAACTTTGAAGACACTGATGAGTTCATTTATGATGAAGTTAAAGCTAAGGTAAGTTCGAAGATGTTTGTTTTTTTATTTTAAAATTAAATTACTGTAATTGAGTACAAGATGGTACCACAAATTCTTGATGTACAGTACAAGAAAAATTGTTTATGGCATATAAACTACGGTACAAAAAATTGTAGCGAAAATAAGTATTGCTTTGCATCACAAGTGAGAGACAGTCAGACAAAGTGTGTCTCAAAGAAGATCTCATTGCAAGAAAAACGTGAAAGAAGTTCCGAAATTCTGGTACGAAGAACCTGTTTTTTGTACCAGTATGGTCAATCATAATTCCCGCAAGCAGATGATTGGATAAATGCGAATCGTAAACGATGAGACGTGGCGAAAGCTTCCACGATACCGATCCCGCATAAGTTGGCCGGAGTCCGAATTGGTTCGGACGTGTCCTTGTCTATCAGCGTCCATAATGTAGTCACGTTTCGCGAAGGTGGTCGATGAAAAAAAGGTATGGGAAACGCAAGAAAGAAAGAGAGAGAGATAGTAAGAGATAAGAAGAGAGGAGTCTGAAAGGACTAGAGGGGCCCGATTATCATATATCGGTCGTAGATCTCGCGTTTGTATAACTAGGGAATAAAACAAACAGAGAAGGGCCCCATGGGGTCGGTCGATCTTCAGGGTCGGCAATTATGAGCCCCCCGCGGGGCCCGGTATCTGCCTACCCACTTTTCTATCTCTCTTTCTCCTCTCTTCATATCGTTGTACCGAGCATACATCGGTGGCATAGGCTTCGCTCTTCAGGAATGCACTACCTATCTAGTAACTATTGCACGTCTGCGATGGAGTTATGTTTATACGGCTGTTCGATGGCCAACTGATCGTGTATCTCGATTCCTTATTTATTTATGGAGGAGTCGAGGGAAATTGCGAAACTGATGATTTTGATTAGAATATGTTTGCTCAGGAATGGAGAATTTTATTCTTATTAATTCAGACGTGTACTGAATGATGTATAGCCACGTACTGAATTTAAAAGTAATTTATACCTGCATATTACCCTTGTTATTATACATGATTATTTATAATTTCGTATCATTGTTATACATTTAGAAATATATCAACACCATTACTAAATTATATTGCAATTCTATTAGCTTAAAAGAAGACCTTTGAAAAAAATGATCTTGAGGCTCAGAATAAAAATTTGAACCGGTGTTGAGGTCTCCCCTGTTATTATATGATTATTTACAATTTCATATCATTGTTATACACTTGGGAAGATATCAATACTATTACTAAATTATGTTACAATTCTATTAACTTAAAAAAAGATCTTTAAAAAAAATGATCTTGAGGCTCAGAATAAAAATTTGAACCGGTGTTGAGGTCTCCCCTGTTATTATATGATTATTTACAACTTCATATCATTGTTATACACTCAGGAAAATATCAATACTACTACTACAATTATATTACAATTCTATTAGCTTAAAAGAAGATCTTTGAAAAAAATGATCTTGAGGCTCAGAATAAAAATTTGAACCGGTGTTGAGGTCTCCCCTGTTATTATATGATTATTTACAACTTCATATCATTGTTATACACTCAGGAAAATATCAATACTACTACTACGATTACATTACAATTCTATTAGCTTAAAAGAAGATCTTTGAAAAAAATGATCTCGAGGCTCAGAATAAAAATTTGAACCGGTGTCTCCCCGAAATACCGACGATTTCGTCGTGTCCACCTGTCGTCTCCGATATATCTGGTCCGGACGAGGTTGTGAATAGGAGCACGAGGTCTTTTAATTGGAATCCTGTTTAAACGGAAACCCCGAGCGCACCTGGAAGTAAAAGCAAGAGGGAGAAAGCGAGAAAAAATAGACCGATGGAAAAAGGAAGTAAAAAGAAGAAAGGTAGAAATATCAGAAACGAAGAGCGAGAGCGAAGCAGCCGTGTTCGGGATCGAGACACGCTCATTAGTCGAGGATGTCCCGAGGGTAGGCGGGAGGTTTCGTCGAATTCGTAGGCGATGGATCACTCGATAGTCGAGTCGAGACTTAAGCGATCGTAATACGTGGCCGTGGTGGAGGCTGCAACGGGAGTGGCCTCAGGGTGGGACTGCATATCGGTGAACTCTCGGTTCACCAGCTTCGGCGACCAGCATCCTCTTCGCCGATCGCGTCGATTCCCCTCTCGCAGCTCTTATAATGGTTCAGACCGAACGTATTTATCGTGATTTATTGTTTACACGGGTCTCCTTTCTCTCGGCTGCCTCCGTCCTCCTCTGTTCCGACCTGCCCTCTCTCTTTCAACGGGTTCTGCGCTAGAGATAGAGGATGCACACCGTGCGATTACGTCCGAGGTAAATTATTGATCGTCCACCAGGAACATTAATATCTAAAACAAATAATGGACCGTTGCACCCCGAGCTCCTTTGAGCCTCCTTTCTCTCAGCCTCGAATCGAACTCCCATTGATCCGAAATCGTACGCTTTCATTTTTAGCCTCTTGCTATTCCGTTTGCTTCGGCCGATTTTTAAAGTAGCAATTAACCCCTCCCGGTGAGTCGTGCCGTGTCGACTATGATACCCTGTTCTATGAGGGGATATGTTCGGTATCTGATTTTCACTTAGCATTCGGAATTGGTGAGTTAGGAATTAATATTGGCTTTTGGGAATTTGAGGATGTGGGGAGTTCAGGATTTGAGGATTTGGGGATTGAGGAATTAGGGGTTTGAGGACTTGGGAATTTGGGGATTTGGAAATTTGAGGAATTGAGGAGTAAGGAATTGGGAAATTTGGGAATTTGGGGGCGTGGGAATTGGGGGATGTGGAAATTTGGGAACTTGAGAATTTGAGAGCTTGGGAATTTGGGAGATTGAGAATTTGGAAGGTTGAGAATTTGAGAGCTTGAGAATTTGGAAGCTTGAGAATTTTGGGAGCTCGAAAATTTGGGCGCTTGAGAATTTGGGAACTTGAGAATTTGGGAGCTTGAGAATTGGGGAGCTTGGAAATTTGGGAGCTTGGGAATTTGGCAGCTTGGGAATTTGGGAGCTTGGAAATTTGGGAGCTTGGAAATTTGAAAGCTTGAGAATTTGGGAGCTTGGGAATTTGGGAGCTTGGGAATTTGGGAGCTTGGAAATTTGAAAGCTTGAGAATTTGGAAACTTGAGAATTTGGAAGCTTGGGAATTTGGAAGCTTGGGAATTTGGGAGCTTGGAAATTTAGGAGCTTGGGAATTTGGAAGCTTGGAAATTTGGAAATTTAGAAATTTGTGGTCGTAGAAATTTAGGAGCGTGAGAACTTGGAAATTTGGAAAATTGAAAAATTATGAAATATAAAAAATGAACAAATCAACAATTCGCAAATTAAAAATTAAAAGCCTTGCAAATCCAAAAAATTAAATTTCTTCGACAAAGAACCCATGTAATAACTCACGTTACGCAACAAGCAGTAAAATGGAGTTGTACAGAGGTTGAAAAACGTATTATACCTAACTGCACAAGACGATTCTTCAAACCCTTGTACACGATTATTACATCTTTTTAACTGGCTTGTACGCTGCACGTTTCGTGGGTTTCGTGAAAAGAGGCAGCTCGATAATTGCTGCAGTTTCAGACACGCACAGAGACGAGATTCATTCGACTCCTTAGGAATTTTTTTTTTTTACCGAACGTCTTGAAGCTGCATGAGAATGTTTAACCCACTTAAACTCGAAGAAATGATCGATCTTTATTCTTGTAGCTTATGAATATATTTACCGTAACGATTTATGATTATCCTCGTTTGCTGTCAATTATTGTCACATTGTAATTATTTGTATATCAATATTGCTTGACGATCATGAAAATTTTTATGAATATTTTCTTTTTCGTATCTAAAATTATTTGAATTTGTTATCTTTTTTCGTAATTACTTGCACATTTGCTAGATACGAAATATCGACGTAAACGCTGTTGAATATTTCATTAATGCGAAATGAATTGGTTAGTTACAAAAAATTCGTTACATATTTCGGCAAAGTCTAACAAAAACCGTGATGGTATTAAGAACTGAAATACATCCATCAAATGAAGATTTCTGCAAACACTC